TTCGATCATTTCTGTTATATCTGTTATACTGTTATTGATGAACCAAATGTTATGTTATGAAAGATGAAAATTTCGTTGTTGTTGTGACCATAGAAATTGGTTAATATCTATTATTTTTACATCCTATATGAATGGGTGATGATTATGTATGTTCGAATCGGATGATAATCGATTCGAACTCAACAACCAATTATTATTAGTACATAAATATGTTTGGAATAAAAGGAAACCTCTTTGAAGATCAAAAATAAATTTTTTTCAATTTTCACAAAAAATCTCATGAAAGTCGTTGTTTTTTTTGAAGAAAAAATTTCTTAGATAATTCGTGACTCAACCACAACAACGACAAACGAAGAAGCAAATACCCAGATATTTCGATAGAGCAAAGCACCAGATACAAATAATTTTTTGTGTGTCTAGTGTGAATAATCATGATGATGAACGAATTTTCGTTGTTGTTGTTGTTGTAAATTATCAATCAATTGATGGATGGACAAATTTTCAATTTCATTCAAACATTGAAGAAAGCAAAAAATTTGCACCTTTTTTAAAAAGATTTTTCTTTTTCCATTTTAAAAATCTTATCACCGGTAGCAACCAACCAAACAACAACAAAGAAAAAGCCTCATTTTGTTTGACAAGTGATAATCATCATTGGATCAAAATAAAGGGATCTTTTTATAACAACTCGGTCATCATTAGAATCTGTAATCGGAGAATGGAAAGTGATTTTTTTCTGATTTTCGTTGTTGTAGCGATTATCCATCTTGAACATCAACAACATGAAAAATCATGTCATTTTATCAATCACTATAATAATCGCAAATCCAATTTGGGATTATTATTACGACAAAAAAAACATGAACGGTTTGTTTTTTGTAAGCGGGAAAAAATGTGGGTAAAATCAATTTTTTTCAATGAAAACAGATTATCCTGGTGATGTAATTCCAATTTTTTCATCTGGTTATCTGATTCGTTCATGGTGGTGATGATGGTTAATATCTAATTTGGATCAACGCCCGTAACCGACAACTGACCGGTGTTGTTGTTGTTAAAAAAAAAAATGACAGGTCATCATCGAATCATATCATATCGTTAATCACGATCATAGTTCACCATTGAATACCACCATCATCGTTGGAATTTTTTTTAGCAGCCAGAACAAATTCAAAAATACAAAATAATGGTGGTTGATTGATTGGTTGGTTTGTTTGTTTGGGTTGAAAAAAATGATGATGAAAAGAATATATTTACATTATTATACAATGATGATCTATGTGTGTGTGTGTTGTGTTATGGCTTTATCGATAATCGAAAATCAAAGATTCGATAATCTAGGTTTATATTATGTATATGTCAATCAAAACAGAACATGCTAGCTTTATCATCATCATCATTTTATTTATTTCGTGTGTTTCGAATCACACGATGGTTCGATTCAGGTGGTCTAAACGTTTTGATGATAAAATAATGACAATTTAGCCACAATTGATTCAAATAGACATTTCATTTATTCACTTTCTGTGGTAATGATATTAGTTCTCACACCAATCGATTGGAAATAATTTGAATGCTGATCAATCGATCGGCATTTATGGCCATTATTATATATCGAAATGGATTTTGTGGCCAGATGATTGAATTTTCAATTTGATTTTCGATTGATTAACAAATGAATTCAGAGATAATATTCACGGAAAACGTTTATTTTCTTTTAATTGAAAAGTTTTTTTTGATTTGAAAATTTAAAATAATAAAAATTTTTTCATATATGAAAAATTTATATTTTTCACACTTGGATTCAAATGATTTACGGTATAAAAATGATCGGTTGATGATGTAAATGTGCCAAATAATGTTACATGAGTCGAATTTTAATAATCCTCAAACATTGAAATCCATTGTCTAGGTCGTCAGGTAAAAAAAACACAAATGGCCTTTCACAACATGAATGGCCATCTATTAATGGAATCTTATTCTTATTGTTTATTTGTTTACTGTTTGCCATTGATTGGTGGCGTTTTTTCGGACATCTAATCTGTTTGTTGATCAACATCTAAGGAGTGTTTTGATTATCAAAATAGTCCGTATATGGATTCGATATCTCAAATATTGATTGACAATTACAGGAGAAAAATTTTTTCGGATAAAATTCATCACACAATATTCACATCCATCTAATATTGATAAGGCGCCTCCTGATTATGCAAACACATCATATCAATGATTATGATGATCATCGAGAATAATCTTTGTTTTGTTCCATGCTAATCATATACAACGATTGGTCAAAAATTATCACGGTGAATTTGATTTTGCCTTTTTTCTTTTCTCAGCCTGAAAGATTGTCGTTTGAAGATAAAATTGACTAAAACAAACATGAAATTCGTACCAAAAATTAAATTTCAATAACAACAAAAATTAATTATAAAAATTTGATTGGCCAGTCATATAGAAAATATATTCGTTTGTTTGTTTTGGTTTTTCATCGATTCCTCTCATTTGAATTTCATTTCACGGAGGCCGAAAACAAAAGCAATGGAAATTCATCAAAAAAATTTGATCCAAAAATAGAAATAATGTTTGTGTGTGTGTGTGTTTGTGTTAAAATGAAATTTTTTTCACACTTTATCATTCAACTGATGATTTGTGTGTCTGTTGTTGTTGTGTTGTTGTTGATTTTTTTACCAAAACTTATTCGAATGATGTGATTTTTTTTTTTTGTTTTGTGTTCTGTTCATCTTTCTATTCATTATATTCATCGTCACAGTTTGTGAACATTTTTCTTTTTACATTTTTTTTCGCATACGAATAAATTGAATGTTGTGAATCATCTGGATGCCAAAATTATGCGGTTAGTCAGTCAGTCAGTCATTCAGCTAGACATATTGGACAGGTAAAACAATGAAACAAACAAACAAACAAAAAAACGAATGGCCGGAACCAGAAATATATGATTGGATCTGATAATCAAAGAAAAGGAACCCATTTCTATTTTTATTGATAACGTCGTTATTAACATCATCATCAATAAAGATGAACAAATGCAATCAGCAATCAGCAATCAATTATTGCTAAAATACAATATCAACTGTGCTTATATTGTGAGGGTAGAAATGGGGTTGATAATCGTCAATCGAGTGTGATTTGATGTGATGAAACCAAAAAAAAAAAAACCTTAAGCAGACAATAATCAACAACAACAACAAAGGTCATTTAATTTATTATTGGTCATGTGATTTGTGCGAAAATTCACGAGATGACCATATCATGGTTGTTTGTTTTTTACAAATGGTGTGAATAATTTAGATTTTTTTTAATTTTTTTCTTTCATTTTGATTCTCAATCGAAAAATAATAATAAAATTGTGGAAATGAATGCAAATATATATGATTGGCAGAAACAGACGATTCATCATCGTTCCACCATGAGCACACACCCCAGTTGTTTAACATTCGTATCTCAAAGTTGATTCATTCATTCAATACGTGTGTGCATTGATTACAATAATAAGATGCAGTAATTAAAATCCAATGCATCAAAATACAAAATTGCATTGTTGATGAATTTTTCTTTTTCTGTTAAGCAGCAACACAGTATTCGTTATATATATAAATTATGTTGTTTCTATGATGACGATGATGTTTTTGTTTTCTCACTTTATTACTTTATTACACAGTTTATTGTTATTAAAAAGTGTTAAGGCTTTTTATTCATCAAAAAAACAAAGATTTGAATTAGATAATAAAGATCATCACATACACTATGAATCATCGATACCAAATCATTATATGATGATATTGCAATTGAGGATTGGTCAGGTCAGGTCAGTTTGGTCATCTTTTAGGATTCTCATTATCATCATCATCATCATCATCATCGAATCAATCTCCATTCAAATTGTTATAATAATAATTAATGTCCACTATATGATTCAACTTCAATAACGTTATCGCAAACATGTTGTAAAACAAATGGATACATAATAATAAACAATAACAACAACAACAACAACAACGATAATTTTTTTTGCACGTGTTTCAACCGTGAATGTATCTGTGAGCATCGAACCAAAACACAGAAAAAAAAATTCTAATAAATTATCTGGCAACAATAGTCCAATAGAGATATAGAGCAATCATATTGTTCAGACGATGAGAAAAATGTTGATTGATTGATAACAGCATTAACAATAACGAATACAAATACAAAAATCTATATGGATGCAACAAACAACACACACACACACACACACACACACAGGACTGATATTTGAAAATCAGATGATTGGATGAACATGCGTATAGATTTCATTGGATCAATTCACAATAACAACAAGTTTCATTTGGCAAGATAATCCTAAAATCACTATGATACTCTGCTAATTTTGTGAATTTTGAAAAAAAATTTTCACAATCAAATTTTTTTTTTAAAGCCAAAATTTTATTTTGTATATTGTGTAAAAATCATCATAAAGGTAAGTTTATGGTGGAAATAAAATTAAAATCTTAGTGAAAATTGATTTTTACCAGGTTTTTCTTTTTTTCTTTTTTTTTTTTTCATTCACACAAGGTTTTCAATGATGGATTGATAGTCCCCGTTGAGCGATGCAATATGTGTGCCAATGTTTTTTTTTTAATTTTCATTTCTACATGAAAAGATTTTGATATTTTGTTTATAAAAGAATAGGATCAACGTCATTATTATTATCGTTATTGGATTGTCAAAATGATCATCATCATGGCCATTTCGAGTTTAAGTTTGAATTTCTGATTCCAACAACACCAACAACAACAATTCAAAAGTCTTGGATGATTAGCTAGAGAAAAAAAAAGAAAAGTATAACACAAAATTATTCGAAACCATTGCGAATCATCATCATCATTTCTTTATTATTTCTATTATCAAATTGTATTTTCATCTGTGCCGTAGTCGTTGTTGTTGTTGTTATCAATAATAATCAGAGATGACATTCATAATAAAAAAAATTCGTTCATGCCCATGTCACGTCACATAATTATAATGATGGATCTATATGAAATGAAATGAAATGAACTTCAATGAAACAAACAACACAGCAAAAATGTGCATCATTGGTGAATAAAATACTTGATTCATTTGACACATTGCACAACAAAAATCAACTCAATCAATTGATCAATGGTCATATCTAAATAGATGTCTACGATATGATTATTTCAAGACATTATCGTTTTGATTGATTTCAATCCAGGTGGAAGAGAAAAAAAGTTTTTCCGTTTCAGTCTTTTTCAAAAATGGATCTTTTTCTGTTACGCTTTCGTGATTCCTATACATTAAACTTGGAAAATAGATCTGACGATGATGATGATGATGATGATGATGATGATGTAGACGACAATCATTAATCACTTTTGAATGTCTTGTTCGTCTTCTGCTTGTTGAATGATTTAATCATCAATTCAGTCGATTTCATCATCACATTTTGATATTACCATTTCAATCAAAAAATTTGAACCATCTGATGATACTGATCTCAACAAAGACAAACAGGAGCCGTACTCATATTCAATGAAATGATGAAAATGATCTTTGACAAATGATAATGATTACAATTTTTCCAATCTCAAAGTTGAAAAATTGAAGTTGTAATTAATCAAAATCCTCATCAAATCAACAATCGAATGTTTGTGATGAATTCTGCCAATGTAATTAATTTGTCTTGTGATTATCATTCGTGATTATTATTTTTTTTAGCCCAAAAAATTGGATTTAAATTTGTCGTCAATCTTGGTGAATGGTGATTTCTGGATTTCATGTTTTTTGACCGTTGTCCGGTTCAACTGACTGTTGTATTTTCATCATCATCATCATCATTAAATTTGAAGAAAATCTAATTTCTATTCTTTCTTTATTTTCGTTTCGTTTCGTTTCGTTTCGTTGTATACATCCGACAATCATATTTGAAATGTGTCGAATTTGATTTTTATTATTATTAACAGAAGAAGCAACAATGTCTTGGCGAAATGATGGCGAAAACAAACATCATCTATTTTTGATCATCCATTGATTGTGTCGCCATCATTATCGCATCAAAGAAGGGAAAAATTTTTCTTTCATTTATTTCCAACATGTGAATAAAATAATAAAATTTCTCCTCTTCATAATGATGTGCGATTGCTATTGTGCAAGTTTTTTTCCTTTTTTTCTCCAATAATTTTTGTTCATTTCTATTTTTGCCAAAACAAAAACATTTCTTATGCATGGAGAATTGTCATTGGAATATTTGGTTTTGCAATTATCAGATTAATCATCATCATCATTTATCAATATATTGATTACAATCAAATAATGATTCTCCATTCCTACATGATATTATGATGATCATTATGATAATGAATAAAATATACAAATTTCAACTAGAGGACACAATGTTGTTGGTTGTACAATTTTCGTCATTTTTTCCATGTGTGTATTTAATTGGCTCTACTGTATTTGTGTGTGTGTGTGTGTTTATTTATTATTATTATTTCGTTGTTTAATTTTTTAATGGAGAAAAAAAATTAACATTTCAAAATTGGCCATTTCATTTCATTTCATTTTTCTCTTTGGTTACCAATTTATTAATGCTCTTTGAGTGTGTAGTTCTTGTTGTTTCGTTTCCAGTCATCACTAGGATAGTTTTTTTTCAAAGCAGCAAACAAAAATTGATCAGTTTTCTCGTTTCAATTTGTTTGACATGTGATAATGATGATGATATGACAATCGACATGATGGCCAATATTGGTGTTGAATGTGAAAAATCATCAGATTGTAAAATTGGCAACAAATTTTCATATTTATCATCATGTAAAAAATGTTGCTTTGTAGTGACCATATTGCTAGCCATCTTGTCATTGATTCTGACATTTATGTTTATATTTTTCTTTGATTTTCTCATCAAAATTATTAATTTGGCACCTGGAACCACTCATCTTAATGATACAAATAGAAATATTGTAATGATGTTTGAGAGGATTGTTGTTTGTTTTCAAATTAACACGTTTTTTTATTGTTTCTCCAATAGTTTGAATTGATTGAATCGCGTGGTTTTCAATATGAATCTCATTTTCTCAATACCGGCAATGGTTATATCATACAATTGGTTCGAATTATAAATCCATATTCATCATCAGACATATTGCCACCACCAGTCTTTCTTCAGCATGGCTTTCAAACTAATGGTAACCAATGGTTGATTAATCGAAATGGTTATCTAGATACCAATGGTGATTATTATGAAATGGATCCGGATAATAATGATGAATTAATCATCGATAAAAATGAATCCACATGTTCATCACTTGGTTTTGTTCTTGCTAATCGTGGTTACGATGTTTGGCTAGGAAATTATCGAGGATCAATTTATTCAACAAATCATACGACACTTGATATTCATAGTAAGTGTTTATCATTATCATATTCATGGTTTAATTATGTGTTTGCTAATGATTGAATTAGGCGCAGAATTTTGGTCATTCTCAATTGATAATCTGGTTGATGAAGATTTAAAATCCACAATTGATTATGTCCGTAACATGACTAATCGAAAATCAATCAGTTATGTCGGCCACTCACAAGGAGCATTCATGATGTTTGCCTTGTTGGCTAAACATCCTGAATACTCGGATTATATCAGACCATTTATAGCCTTGGCACCGGTATTCTATATGTCGAAAATGGAACTAGGTTTAATGAATCTATTTCCCATGAGTTTAATGGAAAAACTTTTAAGGTAATTGTTTTGTTTTTGATCTATTTGATCAATGATTATAATGTATTGTAGAATATATCCACGAGAATTTCCCATGTTTCGTAAATTGATCATCTTGTTGAGCAATTGTTGTGAAAATATCCTCTACAATCGTATATGTTTTGCATACCTTCACTTGTTAAATGGTTATCGATATGAGGAATCATATAAAGATCGTGTCGGAATCTATGTGAACAACATAGTGACCGGATCCTCATCATGGAATGTTGCACATTTTCTACAAATAATAATGGCCAATGGACAACCACGTCATTTCGATTTCTTTGATGATCAACTGAATGGCCAACATTATGATGGCCGTATAAGAGCGCCCGAATATAATGCATCAAACATACGATCACAACATATTGCCATTGTTTATTCACCAATCGATAAACTGAATGCAATGGTGGATATTGAAAAGTTGAAATCAACTCTCAATGGTGAGTGCGTGCAGTGTTTTCACAACTATGCTCTAGTGAACTAATCTTTTTCTGCTGACAGTCAAATTAATGGATGATTATATGCTACCGGAGAATGTATCCCATATTGGAATGATTTGGTCAAAAGATGCTGGTCAACTTATAAACAAAAGGATTGTACAGATTTTGACACGATATTATAACGAACCATAATTTTTTTCATTCGAAATAGATAATTTAATAATTCTATTATTTTCTCCATTTAAATTCCATAAATTTATAAATAACGAGTGTTTTTATCTTGTCCGAAACTGGAAGCTTCTTTTTCAACTTTAATTTATTCACTCAGATTCTCAGATAAGACGACAACAGGTCAAGTGGCAGAGTAGAGAAAGACAGGAAAATAATATGATCATTCCAAGACAAATGATGACAAACACAACATTGTTATCACGAAGCCAATTACGGAACGGTCCTTTGATCCAGTTTTTTATATCATTGAATATATTATTACTTGTCGATTTGGCTGCTTTATCATCGTTGGCTTTCAAATCATCATAATTTTCAACTTTGGAAGAAATCAGAGACAATGGTTCAGGTATAGAAAAATTTACATTCGTCATTAATGTAACGTTCGATTCTTGAGCCATGATCAATAATTTACCGGATGGATTGACATAACATATGGTCATCATCATCATCATCATCAACAAAGCAATCCAACACAAATTACTAATCAATGTCATGATCATCATTGTAGCTCTTGTAGTAATGAATGAGAACTATTTGTTGTTAAATATTTGTTCAAATCACAACTATGTGTATTCGAAATTCGATTGACAAATTGGAATTGGAATTTGAATTTGTTATTAAAAAACAAATTTCGGTGATTTTACTGCCATCTAGAGGACAATGTTGTTAGTGAAAGCATTCGCATGATCATGATCAAATTCATTCTATTGACAAAAACATTTCATTTGCAACATGCATATAATAGTGTGGTGGGGTTGGGGCACGAAATTTCACCAATCGTGTAAATGTGGGAAACATGCAATTTTTGTTTTACATGGAAGAATTCAAGGCCAAAATAATATCCGATTATAGCATACCCGTCTAGTACCCGATTCATTTATATGATGATTCCAGAAAAAAACTGTTCAAACAACAATGGTATTTCGATATAAATTTTCTGGCCTTTTTTCATTTAAAAAAAAAAAAAATAAAACAATGATGCACATCTGGCAATGAGAAAGAAAACAAACAAACAAATTCTTTACTCAAAATTCAAGGATAATGTCGTGTTCACGACCAACACGAACTTATTGATCAACGACAAACAAAGAAATTGAATTTTGAACACGATACGTTCATTGCATTAAAATTGGCTATAAATTGAAAATAATCAAATTCTCACATGCGCATATATTCAACGTACTGCACTTGCAACATACGAATGACCGATACAATAATACACCGGATGTTTCATCGTACACAATTGGGCTTTTTTTGATGGAAAAAAACATTTTTACTTTGACAATCATTTTATGTGATGATGTGGTGTGTTATTGTTGTTGTTTGACTGGACAGCAATTTTTTGTTTGTTTCAGCGTCTAAATTATCATTAATTAATTTTGAATCGATTGTTTTTGAATTTTAATTGAATGACGAAACCGTTAATTTGTACTATTTGATGGAATTATTCAAATGGAAAAAAATAACATGGAGTGAGATGGAATTACTCATGAACCAAATACATGAACATGGACACAAACAACTGTGTCAAAAGGATTTTATTTTTCATTTTGTCATGTTTCAAACTCATGTTTTCTACATTTTTGATTGGATTCTGAGAGATTTTTTTTCTATTTTGTTCAATCAATACTTGAATCGGATATTCTAATCTTTTTGGCTTATGGATAAAAATTTTGAGGGTCTTCCTGGAACGTATGCGTGTGTATATGTGGTACATTTTCAATACATCATCATTATTATAAATAGGAAAATGAAATTAATCTTCATACTTTGAATGAATGGATATATTTGAAAATTATGGTTTGGATTTATTTTTCAAATTAAAAATTTTGCATGTTTTGTATACGTTGTTATTGTTGTTGTTGTTATCTTTTCAATTTTTCAAAAATGGACTTTGACTTTTAGATGACATTTGACTTTCGCATTCCAACTAATTTTTTCCTGATGGTCATCATCATTATCATCGGTAAATAAAATGGTGATTCATGGATGTGTGTGGGTGTCAATTGTTTTATTTCACTTTGTATGATTTATTTGTAAATAATTGTGGAAGTGTATGTTTGTATGTAATTTGATTGGTAAATGTGATGCAAATATGGTGGTGGTATATTTGGTGTGATGTTTTTATTATTATTTTTTTCTTGGTGAAATTTATTCAAAAACACTGGGGCCAAATGCCATGAAATAAAACAAGCATGTGTTTATATAATGTGTGTGTGTGTGTGTGTATGTATTGTATGTATGTATGTAACGACGAACGATAAAGAAATAAGAGAAGAGGGGAAGGAGGAGATCGGTTATGATCAGTTATCGCCAGCATCTGGCTGCTCATCACCATCACCTTGTGTGTCGGATGTCCAAAGCTATTGCAAGAAAAAGACAAAAACAATAAAAATCGTGGTTCGATACAACAAAATCAATCATCACTTACAGTTAAGTTGTCACGAAGAAGCTGCATAATTAAAGTGCTGTCTTTGTATGAATCTTCATTGAGTGTATCCAACTCGGCTATGGCATCATCAAAGGCCTGTATTCAGTTATTGTGTGCAAAAAAAAAAAAAAAAAACAAATCAATTATAAAACAAACTAATTATAATCAAAAAGAAAGGGGAAATGAAATAAATTAGCTGAACAAAAGAAACAATTTCGTTTTCGGTGAACACGCGTAATTGTTAGAAGGATGGTGGTGGTGGTGGTGGTTATTTCTCGAATGGGTTCGAAAATTCGGCTTACGATGAAAAAAAATAAAATAAATCCTATTTCAGTGAATGAAGCAACATATCAAGATGTCAAGAGTGAGAAGGAGAATAGAAAAATCTTCATGTATGACAAGGCAATAGCGGCGTTGGCACGTGTAGTATTATAGTAGTATGATTAATTCTCGTTTGGCTTGGTTATCATTATTTTTTTGGAGCACAGCGTCAATCAGTCAGTCATGGATGGATTTGTAAGGATACCAAACATTGATTGTTGGAAACAAATGTTATTGCCTAATTAATTAAGGAAAAGAATAATCTTTTGTCATGTTTTCTTGGTCGTTCAGTTTCGTCAGAATTTATATATAGAAATTCCCCGGCAATCTATTTCATTTCGATAATAATGATATTGTCCTATTTTTGTGTACCGTACGGGTTTATGTGTGTGTGTGTGTTGTGTGTGCGATTTACCTGTTTGGCCAGATGACAGGCGCGATCAGCAGCATTCAATATTTCATAATAAAAAACTGAATAATTCAACGCCAAACCAAGACGAATAGGGTGTGTTGGCTGTAATTTAGATCTTGAAATGTCAAATGCTTCTTGATATGCTTTTTGGGCTTCATCAGCAACGTCTTGATATATATCATTTGTTTAGGTGTTTTTTCCGTTGATCATTAATCGATCATTATTAGTTGAGCAATAATATAATGGTATTTTGGTGGTATATAAGACATTAAATGAGTATTTATAAGCAATGAATGAGCAACCACAACCAAACACCACCACCAATAATTCACACGTGACACATGAAGAACAACAAAATAGGAAATATAAACGAAATTCGAGTTTTGTATAAAGAAAAAACAAAATCAAATAATAAGGGATCCAAAAAAAAAAAAAAATAGGAAAAAAGAAACGAAAAGAAAAAATGTTAGCAGAATCAAATTCAAAAATCATAATCACCTGCTTAGCAAGTTGACAAGCTTTGTCTGGCGAATTGAGAATCTCATAGAAAAACACCGAAAAGTTGAGTGCAAGACCAAGGCGAATTGGGTGCGTAGGTTGCATCTTGCTTTTGGAGATGTCAAACGCCTCTTGGTAGGCCTTTTGCGATTCTTCAACCACACCTACAAAATTTGTTTTTCAATTATTAAATTCATTCATTCATTCATACATCTTTTGCTTGACAACGTCAATGATTTTGATTAAACTATTAAACTATCCAGAGCTTATTATTACCCCTTCTATTTGCTGGCTGTGTAATAATTGTTTTTCTATCGAATAAAACAAGAGCTGCTGCTGCTGCTATGTCAAATAAGAAAGCAATCTCTATTCATAATCATGATCAACAACAAAATATGGAATTAGGACTGATGACTTGCTCTAATAAATGATAAAATACATCTCTGCCATATACTACATATAATACAATAATAAAAACTAATTAATGATCAACATTGTCTCTAATCTTTGATGGTTGTTTTTGTTGTTGTTGTTGCTGTCAAAATTGGACGAGAACGGGATAAAAAAAATGTTTCAAGCAATTATAGAAGTGATCATCTCCGGTTTTTTCGGATTTTTGTTTGTTGTTGTTGTTGTTGTCGAATTGCTAATGAAAAACCATCAATTAATAGCGGAAATAAAGACTTACTCGTCCTTCGGTCACCAGTAGCCACTTCAGCCAAATATCGATAATAGTCACCCTTCATTTTCAAGTAAAAAACTTTACTTTCTGCATTGCTTGCTTTAGGAATCAGGTATTTGTCGAGAAGTGACTAGATATATAGAGAGAATAAACGGTTATTACAATGATGGCAATGTTGTGGATGGATTAGCGCTTACCAATACATCATAACAAATATCACGAAGTTCAACTTCGACCTTTTCACGATATTCACGTGCCATTTGTTGTTTACGTTCAGCTCCTTCGGTCTTCTGTTCGATAGATGAGATTACTCTCCATGATGATCGTCTTGCACCAACAACATTTTTGTATGCGACTGATAAAAGATTACGTTCTTCATTCGATAATTCGGTGCCGGTTTCGGTGACTTGTTTCATGGCAGCAGCCATATCATCATATCTTTCGGCCTGTTCGGCGAGCTTGGCGCGTTGTACGAGTTCTTCACGTTCCATTGTTTTGTCTGATGAAATTGATTAATTTTAATTTATAATATATATATAAAACAATGACTTTTGTCGATTTTTGGTGAAAGTTGATTCAAAATGAAGACTATATCAGGTTTCGGCAATTTTGTTGACAAAAAATTTAACTAACAAATTGATGATGATGATGATGAATCAGTTTATTATTCGTGATTTCTGTGTGAAAAAAAAATAAAGGAGAATATAGAGGTTAGTGATGAATTTAGTGGTGTCTGTGAGCAATTTGAGTTTAATATATCGCAATATATGAATATGAATGTTATGTTATGTTTCAAAATCAAAATTCATCCAATTAATTAAAGGATGCACTATTTATACAACTTGACACACCTTCTTGGATCTAAGAAAGATATAATTTGGAATTCATTTATAAGACAAAAAATTCAATCAAATAATCCATATGAACGAGGTCGATCAAAGGTGATAAGAAAGAAAAACGAGAAAACATTAAACACTAGGATCATTGACAATTGATAAATTGAATGACATCGAAATGAATTTTTATTACTGGTGGAGGGGGTGTTGGAGCCCACAGAATTAAACATACATGTTACAATATACAAACTTGAATCTTTTTCAAAAGTGTTCAATTGGGGAAAAAATACTGTAATATAACAACTATTGGACCTAAGAGGAAATATATCAAGAAGACAAAATAGCAGCACAGAAAGTATTAGAGAATAATTATTATCATATACAAAAAGTGAAAAATAAAATTTGGTGGCGGTGGCGTGTACAGCATACACACTATGTATGGATTGATTCAAGGAGAGGAACAGTATGTATATGTGTAGTGGTGGTTTTGGTGGTGATGATGATGATGATGCTAACTATTCAAAATCAATTCAAATGAATGGAAAAAAAAAGAATAGCATGGTAAAAAAGCAATACAGAGATTGAAGTAAATTTTTCGGGAGACAGCCGCATACAAACACACAGTGAATGAAAAAAAAAATGATAAAGGAAAATGGCTGCCACTCGTCGAACCAGTGTGTGTGTGTGTGTGGACGCATATAGAGACATAGACATAAAAACACACACACACAATGGGGACCAGAAAAAATGAATAAATAAATTCAAGATTTAGAAACGAAAAGAGAAGCGCAGAATCAGAAAAAATTTCTTATATTTATTACTTTTTTCCTTTCAGATGATCATGATTGGCAAAATAATAATATCAGTTAGTGCAAAGCAGTAAAAGTTTCGCTCTCGTTCATAGGGACTAAAATTCAACATTCGATGGATGGATATATAATATATGGTGGTTTTTTCACTATACCCACACATACGATCAGCACACACACACACAATACACGCACACACAATATAGACAGACCAGAAATCGACGGCTGCCACATTTTGTCGTGTTCAAAAAACGAAACGAAGCCGAACGATGATTGGAATCATCATCATCATCAATCGTCAACGACAATGAAAGTTTCGATAAATCAAAGAAAAATTAATCTCATTTTTTACCATCACCATCAATATAATGGTAAATGAATTTTATCTATTGTCATCATTCGTGATTCATTCATTAGGATCTTGTGATGAAAAATTTTAAAATTTGAAAAAACAAACAATTCTACTTACCAAGAATGTGAAAAAGAATTGCAACCAAAAGAAAAAAATTGAAACAAGCAGATGGATATTGTGTGTGAATGAAAGAGCGAGGGAGAGAGAGAGAGAGAAAGATACACCATACATTCGCATAAAAAAAAAAATACAATACCACCAGTCTCAACAACCAAAAGAGAATAAAAAGATGAGAGAGGGAGTAATCATCATCATCATCATCATCATAACTTTATTTTTGCTGTTACCATGTGCACTGATGTGATTGCGCGCGCATACATATCACAACACCCATGTTGTAGTGGCATAGAATAATGTTGAAAAATCAATAATGATAATCTGATCTCTTTGGTGTGTTACACCTATCGTCGTCGAAATAGGCGCATGGGCGAGTCACGAGCTAAAATGGACACAGAAGCATCTTTTCAATCACTTTCACATTTCATTTTTTATGAAAAAAAAAAATTGTACAAATACCACACACATACACATGCGTGTAATTTGAATTCCGAGTCAAGAAAGAGAGGAGAAACTTGTGACTTGATGTCGAAATAGTGTGTAGAGAGACAACGGAAATGGCTCCATCTGCCGGTTAGACGAGGATGTCACCCCAAGTCTACTGATAGATAGCCGGAGTATTTCTCTGGAATCAGACAAAAAAAGTGACTACAGGCAGGTATCTTGGATACGAATGACTAATTTTTCAACTCATAATAAAAACAAGGAGATAATTATCTTATCAATTGGATATTTTCTTTCCTATAGGGAGCTGATATACTGTACTTTGTTTGATTCACATTCATTATGTTCATCATTGGACAGAATGAGTCATCATTATAGTAATATAATATACAGGAGAACTTGATGTTTTTTCAAACAATAATAATTATGTATGATGATGATGATGATATGATATGAATGATAATGATGATCATGCGCTTGCAACAATAATCCTACACATGCTTACAATCCAATCCAATCATCAAATGAGTAGTATAGACCAGCAAAGCTGAAAAAATTCGCCCCGGCAAACATATATTCATTGAAAAAAAAAAAAAAGAACCAGATACATATAGATGGTGAAATATATAGATAATGATGATGATAATAATAATAAGCAAATACTTCAAACGACAAACGAATTGGAGAGAAAAATTGGTGCGCCCAATTCTCTCTCTCTCTTTTTCTTTTCTTACTTGGATCCTTGTTTATAGTTGTAGTGGTGGTGAATGGCAGGATAATTGGTCGTGTGAAATGAGAATAGAGAGAAAAATCGATCAAAATCCCAACACCAAACATCAAGATGGGAGAAATTTAGATTTTGGAACATTAGTTTGTTTGTTTGAACAGAAAAAACAAGAGTGTCGCGCATATAACAAACAATCTTTGGATCATCATAGAAATATGTGCTGCATGTTGAGTGACATGGCACATGTTATTGGACCAAGCAATCTATTATTTCAAGGAGCATTTAAACGAAAAAAAATTCTATCCCAAGTCAACCAAGTCTGAGTACCAGAATCAAGTGTCTTTGCTATATATATAATCATCACACATGTGGTGCCAAAAACTATGATAATGATGATCAAGTTCCTCATCAAAAAAAAGAATCTCACACCTTAATGATGATGATGATGATGATGATGTCATTAATTGGGTAGCATTCGTCATCATTATCACATAATTGTAGACATAACCATACAAAAATGCATCTTTCTATGCATCTAAAGATGAAAATAAAATACCTGTTCCTTTTTTTATAATTGAATGTTTCATAATCCAGTTTAGTGATTAGTGATTAAATGCTTGTAAATATGTCACAGTAGGAAAGAAATCCTTGTTAGTTATTGTTTTTAACACTCAATTAGATACATCAAGCAATTGTATTTGTATGATGGTATAATGCAATGAAAAGATAAAAATCACATCTGTGCATTCACGTAAATGAAAAAAAAAGAATTGAAAGTGAGAGATGCAATGTGATGATGATGATGATTACACAGAGACATTCTGGTAGATGAAAAAAAAATAAAGAAAACGATTGTATCGTAATAGAAATGAAAAACAAAAGATTTAAGCCAAGTCAAAAATATTATTTCGTCACAAATCACTTGATGAGAAAGAAAATAGTAATTAATATGGTGTGGTACATCAGAATATGGAGAATTTCATCAATGAAGAAAAAAAATACCATATGATCGATAAAACGTCAAACAGGAAATGTCAGCAACCGGCAAACATGATCTCGATTTTTTCATGCATGTTGATCATGTTTATTCGAACAAAACTGGTTTGGTTGAAATCATCATGCTCGCTCACACAATTTCTTAATTTCAACATTTGTCTATATTAGGCAAACGACCATCATTTGTTGTTGTATTAAGGAAACAACAAATTAGCCCATCATCATCATCCATCCATATAGATAGATGGTGATTAATTTAAACATTTTACCGGCTTGATTGATAATTCTAAGGCCACCATTCATTCATGTATTTTGTTCTTGATGAGATATGTATCATTCTCGGTTTTTTCATTTGATTTATCAATAAAACAGATATAGATAAAGCGATCTTTTTCATTTGATCCTAATCAATTGAATTCATTGGAATTTAATCAAACGTTTTCCAATGAGGAAATGTGAATTTCACTCTAGCTTATTGTTGTTGTGGTGATGAACAATTTATTTGATTGTTTCATTTACTACACAACACATCAGGAAAACAAAATGCTAGGCAACTAAACTGCTAATAAATAACTGAAACCTAAATTAACAAAATTAAACTACGTTTCAACCAACCAACCAACCAACCAACCAACACACACACACAAAGAGTAGGCACAAATTACACAATATAATCGATCATCGACGAATCGAAAATGGTCGAATGGATCTGTGTAACTTACCTCACTTTGATGAATATTTTTCTATTTGTTGGGCGTAATACGAGACTTGTCGATAATATAATCGTTGCCCCTGAGTTATTAGAATGTTGTTTTTTCGATGAATTTGCTTCAAAATTTAACAAAAACGACAAACACACACACACACACACACGCACACACTTGGCAATTTCGCAATTGTGTTGTTGAAAGTTGGATTTATTAGTCTTGACTTTATAATTTTATGGTTGCGGTTTTAATGTCTCGGTTGGCGAGCAAAGCAAGAATCAAACAATCAAACAAACAATCTTTAAATCTTTAAAATAAATGAATGACGACAATTGTTGTTGTTACAATTACACAATCATAATTGGATATAATTGGATGAGATGAGCAACCCAAGATCAATTTTGGCGATTGAAACAATTGAATCGTCGTTTTATGAATTTATGGCTGGTTATGAATTTCATTCGAAAAAAAAATTATTTTGGATTTTCAAAAATTTCATCAATTGATGCTTGAACAGCCAAAATATGAAATGATCGAGAAATGAATGAAAATGATGAAACAGACGAATCCACCAAGTTTTGACCCAAGTGAAGGAGATTTTTTTTTTTTTTGGTTCCGTTCGTTTGAATGATAGCGGTGGAGTCTGAATGCCACTACCTATCTCTGTTTTCAACATGCTGCACTTTTTTTTGCACTTTGTTGGTTCTGCATAATGCAATAGGATCTGCCCCTTTTTTTCACTCGATAACATTGTCTATGAAGGGGAATGCACACGTGTTTTGTTTTCACGTTTTTTATTTCATTTCATTTTGATTCCATTTGTAACACAAATTTTAAATTTTTGTTGGAAATTTCACATTTCATTGGATAGATAATAATGCCTAAATCTAAACGAAATCGTCTCGGTATGTAACTTTGTTGTTGAGAAAAAAAAATTTGATTGAAACAATTTGATTAAATTTAATCTGCAGTATCGTTGACGGTGACGAAAAAGAAAAATTTTTCCAATCTCAAAGAACGATTAGTGAAAGATGTACAAGAATGTGCGGATAAATATAAACGTTGTTTTGTATTTCGTGTGGAAAACATGCGAAATGCTAAATTGAAAGAGCTGAGAAATGATCTCCGTCAAAGCCGGTAAATTTTTCATGTTTCATAATTGATAATTGATAATAATATTGAACAAATATCGTTTGAACTTGTTTTTGCAGATTTTTCTTTGGAAAAATAAAGTAATGAGCATAGGTCTTGGTCGTACAAAATCCGATGAATATAGGGAAAATCTTCATTGTATTACGAGATTATTATCCGGCCAATGTGGCCTATTATTTAGCAATCAAAATCAAGATGAAATATTCAAGTTTTTCGATACATATCGTCATCGCGATTATGCTCGAACTGGAGATACGGCAACCGAAACGGTCGAATTGTATGAAGGACCGTTGGAGCAATTTGCACACAATCTGGAACCATATCTTCGACAATTGGGAATGCCAACAACTTTACAAAAAGGTGTTGTCACATTGTTGAAAGATTTTCAAGTTTGTCAAAAGGGGCAACCATTAACATCGGAACAAGCTCGTATTCTGGTAAGAATTGATGATAAAAGTTTCCGTTGTTACTTTATTCTTTCTATATAAATTTGAATAGAAATTGCTCGATAATCAAATGGCCGAATTTCACATGACAATCGATGCTATGTGGTGTAATGATGGAAAATTTGAAATATTTAACCGACAAAAATTGATTGCAAAAAGTAATGATGACTACGATGAATAATGGTCATGTTATGTTTATGTTTTTTGCTTTTGTAAATATACTATCTACTAGTTTATATTTAAAATATGAATAAAAAGGACAATGTTTTCTCAGTTTGATTTGATCATGTATAAAGTGTGTCTGTGTGTGTGTGTGTGTGTGCTCGTAATCAATCAGGTAAAGTCTTTGTCAATGCCATTGATTGCCACGAATTCGTTGTTGGTTCGTTGGCTATGTACATTCCAGATCACATTGATCGATATTGGCTAAATTATCGATCAGATTTTCATCGATTCGTATGAAATCGCTTTGTCGTGAAATACGTATTTCAATGTCATAGATGCATCCTATTTTGATTTGAATGAAAACGGAATAAAATTGATCAATAATGTGTTCTACATGGACAAACCTTTAAATCCAGTCAAATTATATAGAGCCGGATGTGTTTTCCAATCATCATGACCGCCAACATATAGATATGGATCAATATTTGAATGTTTTTCATGTAAAACAGTAAAAGTCTGACCAACTTGTGGCCGTAATTTGCTATCCATACCGGATGGTATGACCAACAACCAGAATAGTTGCCGATAACGGCCAAACAATACCATCTGTTCGGTCATATTTGATTCGGTTGTTGTTTTCAATGTTCGTTCGCCTGGAAATGAACACCAAAACAAAATTTTAATAATAAACAATCGAGTGCATGCTTTTTTTTAAAAACCTTGTCCCATATTGAGTTTTAGATGGAGAATTTTGTCCAAATAAACAAGGCTAACAAAATCTTGAATGAATGTGGAATTATCATTCTTTGGGTTCGATATATGGCTCAAAAACATTAGTAGACCATTTCGTTGTTCGATTGGATGTGCTATAAAACGAAATCGAATTTCGAAAAATTCTTCAATATTATAAGCAAGACGATATCTAACAAAAGATTTGTTTGTGCCAATATTGAACGCAGCAAACGTCAGATTCATTCCTATGATGTGTGTTGAACAAAGATAATGTGTAATGTCATGTTTATAGAAAAATTGCACTTACTAAATTCACATCTTGAACCAAGAAATCCTTTTGGACAGATGCATAAATGTTTGTTGCTATTACTACTATCATCGAGTAGATCGCCAAGTAAACACAATCCACCATTGAAACAATAATCTGAATGACAATATATTTCTTGACATAGCCAACCACGAAATCCTTTTGGACAGGAACAATTCCATAAACGATCATCCAATGATGTTGATGATAGTGTTCGGCAAACTCCATTATTACGACATGGATTCTGTTGGCATACATTCGATAAACATTCAGTAATGTTAGTGGCTCGAAATGAGTCTTTGACAAACATTTCTTCATTATTCAATTTCAAATTGAAGATGCAGCCATGAAATGGTTTGAGGAATGAATCAATGTCAAAATTAGATGGTGGTCTACCTAATCGAAACCATTCAAAACAGGGAACAGTTAGATTTTGTTTTTGTAGGCTAACACTGCTGATCAATTGATTGTCGTCGTCGTTGTTGTTGTTGTTGTTGGCTTGTAATAACTCAAGTGCAACATTAACCGATCTATTTGGCTGTGAAATGATATCTACTTTCACTCGGTATGGTTTCAATCTTTCGATTAATGAGCCACTTTCCAGTTGAAGCAAATTGTTTTGATTTTCATCATTTAGTTCGACGATTATCTGGTTGTTTTCCACATGGACCAAAAGATTATATTTATTCGTATAGGCATGTAGAATTGTACCTTCATCATTTTGGCTGACAATGGTCATTGTCACTGAACTTGTTGAACGTTTAATTCTTCGCATTTTGAATACGATTTCCGAATCTGATCCATCAAAACTTGGTGCATAGATTTGATTCACATCTTTGACATTGATTTCATCGGGAATTAATAATAACGGAATTTGAATGGCTGCTGTAGGTCGTGCAATAATTATTGTACTGGTTTCATTGGGCACTATACTTGATGATGATGATGATGATGGAATCGATACAGAAATTGATGATGATCTGACTGAAACAGGAATTGTAGGCACAATGTTTGTGTTGGTCGAAACTATCGATATGGATGGTTCAATAAAGGCAGTGTTATTATTGATGTCATTGTGGTTGATAATCGAGCACAATTCCCCGGAAAATCCTACTGGGCAATGACATGAGTAGCCATTGATTTGATCTAAACATGTGGCCCCATTTTGGCAGTCATTTGGTTGACATTCATCATATTTAAATTGACATTGATTGCCGTGAAAATCCGGTGGACAAAAACATTTGAAATGACCATGCTGTCCGTTACTCATGCATAGACCATTATTCTGACATTTATCCGAATCATTGCATTTATAAAGCGGCTGTTGACATGTTTTACCCGACCATCCATATGGACAATTACATTTGAAATTGAATTGTCCATAATTCTCACATTGTCCTCGGTTAAGACAAGGTGATGAATCACAGGCATTGATTTCCGTTTCGCAATTTGGCCCAGTAAAGCCAGATCTACAAACACAATAATAATCAGCACCTGGACCGTCTTTGCAGGTACCACCATTATGACACCGAACATTTGATGTTTGTTTGTTATCATCAATGATGTCGACATGACAAGCATCGATATCGATTTCACATTGAAGTCCATCATACCCTTTCAGACATTTACATTCGAATCCGTTTATCTTGTCGATGCATGTTGCCTGTGCAAAAAATGATGGAAAAAATTAAAATTTGATGATTATATACACGGACCATACACTGACCCCATTGCGACAAGGATTCGAATGGCATTCATCGATTTCCATTTCACAATATTTTCCACACATTCCAGCCGCACATATGCAACGAACTTCAGGCACATCATTCACACAGATTGCATCTGTCGAAAGAATCATCATCATCATTTTAAATCTGATAAAAACATTTGTCATACCATTTTGGCACGGGTTACGTCCCGGTAAGCATTCATCAAAGTTGATGGAACAATCATGACCTGTAAAACCATCATGGCAAAAACATTTGATTGATTCTGGATTATCATCTTGATCGCTGGAACATATCCCATTAATGCATGGACAATTGTTTGTATGGATTGCAACAATCAACCAAATCAATATGATGAGAAATGGATAGAATGATTCGATCGACATGATTGTAGAATGTGGAGAAAAGAAGATTGTCAAACTTTCAAAACTAATTCATTCGTAATCGGTGAATGGCCTCATTGTCAGTATATTGATATTGACAAAAATTATCGGCAAACAACCAATCAATCCAATTAACAGACAAATGGCCAACATGCAGTATGCTGGTGACATTTCCCGTTGACTATTACTATTACCATGGCAACCATCCGAATGATTCATCAAAGTGAATCAACTCAAAACAATGCAGAAAACCATGTATTAAGAAAAAGCAATTTATTTAGAAAAATGAACAAAATAAATTCGATGATGATTAATCATTGAATTTCAAATTAAATCAATGAGGAAACTCGTTTCGATAAAATCTCATAATCAGCTTCCTGTTGGAAATAGCTTGGTGAATTTTTATCAATTTTAAATTGTAATCCGTTCGAATAGAATTGAGTGGCTTGATTATTATTTTTCAATACGGTGACAATTACTTTTTGCATTCGAAATTTTTTCGCCATCAATTCCAATAGATTCATAAGATAGCGACCAAAACCTTTATGTTGATATGACTGTTCGACTTGTAATTCATAGCAATATAAGACGGCATCAGAAACATATCCTTGTTCGAAACGAAAATGAACGAATGCAATCGGTTTTGATGGTGGTGATGAATCCACCGTCGGCTTATGGAAAATGATCAAATGTTTAGCGGTCGAATGTTTCAGTTCACCGAGTTTGGATTTTCGTTGCCATTTCCATGAACATGAGTCATATAAATCTTTCATATTTTCTTCAGTCAAATCTATCATCCATTGTTGTAGTTCGGGTGAAAGTTTTGTCCACATAAAATATCTGGTTTCAATTCGTAGGTCGCAAATTGTTGTTGACAGACATTGTTCAATTGAATCATAATCATCATCGAATTTGGCAAGTGGATTTTCGAATTCATTGGCCATCCGTAGCAACAACTCATTTGGAATCGTTGCTTTACTCGAGCTTTTTTTGCCCATGTTTCGGTGATTTTTTTTCCAAATCCCAATTTAAAAACAATTTTGAAAAAATTTGTGATAAGCAGACGAGAATGATTGAAAATTGAGTTTTGCGCTCATACACAATGTATGTTACAGTGAATTTTTTATTATATTGTAAAATACAGCAATCCTATTTTTTGAACCACAAAAATCATTCAACTTGATTGAATTGTCAATTCCAATCAATGAACAATGAGTCATTATTATCCTTATGATGATTGTTGTTGGTATTGAAATTCAAAATTCAATTTTCTATGCTCTTGTTGTTATTTTCAAGCTTGAACGAATGAAAATTGATTGATCCAGTCAAAATTATTATCATTGGAAAAGAAAAATTCAAAATTGATCCGATGAACGGGTTTTCCTTTGGCTAATGTCTGGTTAGTTTAAACACACAAAAACAACAAACAAACAAAAATAAAATCAAGATATGGATCCGCTTGTTCCAGTTCAGGTTTTTTTTTTGTCAGGCTGATTTTGTGTATGTTGCGGTCAGTCTTTTGTGTAATAATGTGTGTGTGTGTGTGTGTGGGTGTTTATTTTAAATTTTTATCGTCGTTTTATTATCTTTCTACAATGGAAAAAACAAACCATAAAAATTTAACAAACAAAACACACACACAATTCAATGAGTAAAACGGCCATTTAAATTGATTAGATTTTGATGAAAGAACTTGCGCCAAAATGAATGGAATTTTTACAAAAAAAAACATTCACATGATGATGATGAATTAAAAAGTGTCGTTTTTTTTGCTTCAATCAACAGTGTAACCCAGAAAACAACAAGAAATGAAGAAAAGAAAATGAAAAGAATCACAACGGGTAAATATCCTGGTAGCCTGAATATTTAAGATTGTATCATCATCCTCATCATAAAACATGGAATATGATCACAGCGAAGAAAAATTGACTTTATTTTATTACAATTGGTTGCACACGAAAAGATGTTTTCTATCAATAAATCTCTCCACATAAATAATACAATAGTTTGGCTGGTTTTTTGTTTTGTTTCTATTTCAATGATTTTGGGCAAAAATGAATATACGGTCATGTCATTTTCTCTTTTTTGGTGTTTGGCAACATTTTCCTTTTGACGAAACGAATTTAAAATCTTGAAATCAATCACACACCTTAAATTTGAAAGAAAAGGGAAAAATCGACACACATGAACCTGAACATTTAAGTATGTCAATCATTGTGTTCTGTTTGTCTATGTGTTGGATGAAGAATACACTATCATTATCATCATGGGATTTCTTTCAGGTTGAAAAAGGTAAAAACACTAGATCGTCATTTGTCATTCATTCAACATGACTGGATGATTTGTTTCGATTTTTGTTTCTCTGTTTCGCGTTTTCAATTATCTTGATTACACATTCGTTTCAGCAAAAGAAAGGAAAAATTACTATTTACCTAATTCGGTTAACACCGCATTGGTTGTGATTATCACCAATTCGTATGTAAAGAAAAAGTGTTGCAAATTTCACTTGATTCCATTCGATACATGAACCATTCTGATGGGAATCCTAATTAATCCTAATTCATCAATAATTGTCGTGATATTATCATCATCATTTTTATCAATAATAAATGAATCGACAGCTATTCATTACGGTGGCCATCATCGACAAAAACAACAACAACAACAACAACATCATCATCATCATCATCATGGAACCAGACATTATCCCAAATGCATGCATGACGATTGGCACACAAACACACCATCATTACGATCATCGACAAAAATACCATTCATTTGGCCACATGATATTACAACATTAGACTCGAATCATGACCATCATGACCATCATCATCACGAGGAATTGACACCATTACGACTGGAATACACATTACCACCGGTATTTGATCAACGACAAATCATACTAAATGAAGAGGACATATTTGAGCCACACACAGATATACAGAATACTAATAAAAATACATTGATGGCACCATATCAACAATTTACATCATCCATCCATCATCATCATCATCATCATCACAAACATCGACCTCGTCATCTGGTTGGGACGACGCTCCAAATTCCAATATATTTCGAATTGAAAAAATTTCATCAAATTTGAAAAAGAAAAGAAAGAAAATATTCGACAATAGCCATAATCATCATCAACAAAAACCAATGATGAAACAAGTTTATTATCCGGAAATTTTGTCACCAAACTATTCGAAAGTGAATAAAATTATTGTGATTGAAGAAACCGATGTTACTGGTGATAAACATAACAACAACAATGGCTCCGATCTGTTTATCGATTCGAATGTAACCAAACAGATTGTACAATCCATACTGGATTCAAACCGTGGTTTTAATGATAAAAATTCCAACAAGAATTATCAAGAAAAATCCAATGATTATCATCGATCCGAACCAACAACACAACCATTACTACTGTCAACCATGATTTATGATCATCCACTACGTCAATCATTACCGCCGATATCAACAATCAAAGATTTACATGATCGACTGAATGAGACATTGCTGTTACGAAATACTGATTTTGGTAATGTTACAATCGAATTGGCCAACAATAACACTGGCAGTGATTATTATCATAATTTGACAATGATTACACCATATAAAAGTTATAATCTCTCTACGATAACATTTCAAACAAACACCAGTAATGATCCAAGTTCCATGACATTTGTCAATGATCAATTGACGATGAAAAATACCCGTTGGTTACCACCACCACCACCACCACCACCACGACAAACAAACCAATCGATTCCAATCAACAAATCATCCGACGAACAATTAGTGTCCAGTGGAAGCACAAATCAAGAATGGTTATCGTCAACAACTTCACCACCAGTGTTTTATTTTACCAGTGAACGTGATGCTGTATTGTTACCGACACCACCGACCATGGTGTCCACACGTCCATCAACATTCTATCAACGAAAATCAAATTCAAAAAGTTTTCATCATCATCACAATCCTCGTCAACAACAGGAACAGCATAAAAATGGTGATCATTTCGATACGATCAAAACGAATCAACAGGCAGAATTGGATATTGGCAAATTGGGCAGTATAATCATTGCTTTCTGCATATCAATACTGATGTTGATTGGTAAAATTCAATCTCTCTTTTTTTTTGTTGGTTCCAGAACTAATCATTTTTTCAACAGGTATCATAGTGATGTTTCTACATAAGGATTGTTTTTCCAATCATTTTCTTCCCAATAACAATGTCCGAAATGTACAAACATCTTCATCTGATAATCATGAAAATGATAATCAACCGCAATCAGCCAGTTTTGACAATCAGCAATCAACAATGGAATCTATGAATCAGTCAACGGCTGACCCTACTAATCAGTCGCCACCAGCACCAGCACCACCACCGCCACCACCACCACCACCAGCGCCAGCACCAAAACCAAGTCAACATAGGATACAACAAATAATGGGCATTAAAAGTATTGGCGATTTCAATGATAAAAAATGTCGGCATTATTTTTCTCGAGTAGATTACAGATAATCAACTTGATGGAAAATTGTCATTTCTTGAATTTAATTGGTCTTTATTTATTATTTATTATTATTTGTATATGTAGGCACATCGATGGGTTCCTAAACGGCCTCCATTACCGACGGATCTTGTTTATTGAGGTGAATCATCATCAGTAACCATAATTGACAATTGACAAAATTGGCATAATGTGTTTATTTATTGCATTTAGAGCTAATTAAAGCACAACAATGATTAATTGAGACATTTTGTTTGAAATTGAACTTTTGAATAAATGACAATTTTCCACAACAATAAACAAAATCAATCAAGTCAGTGAATACATTGATTTTTGATTTTTCTGCTAGGTAACCAATTTGATCCATGATTGACGTGCTGGATGATCATCTGCAGGTCGATTGATGGCTGTCCAACATGGCTGGCCAATGAATAATCGTATTACTTTGATATAATCGCTTTGATCCAATGTAAATCGGTGATATATACCGGCTGGTAAAACAAGTAAATCATTCTTTTCTATTTTGATTCGAATCCATCGATCCTGACGATCACGAACATCAAAATAACCACTGCCATTTAAACAGAACCGTATCTCTTCATCAGCATGGAGATGTTCGGTGAAAAATATTTTCAATTTACTCTCGTAATCGGCCAGTTTTTCTTTGCTTATCTCCAGATTATCCTGATAATCGTAGCCTCTTTCTTGGCGAATTTGTGCATAAGTTTCATCATTCTCATAATTATCCGCATTGATCTAATGTGGTTGATTAAAATTATAGTTTTTTAAATCTGAAAATGTCTAGAAATAATCGACAAAATTACCTGCCAATAAAGAACGCCCGTTTTCTCTTTCAATTCATCCAGATTAACATAAAGTGGTGGCGATAAATGCCGTTCACAACGCTGATCTTCATTGTCATTATCGTTCATGTACCAAGCTCGAACCATATTTTTAGGATAACTTATGAACAACTTTATTCAGAATTGAAACCAAACATTACATCGATGCAACAAACACATTATTTTCACTCACTTGTAAGATAAATAAAGCTGAATTTAATTTAATTCATGGACTGTTTCAAAGTCCAAAAAAATCACTTGGATTCAAAAATAAATACAGCACAACCTGTATCCACTCAATTGGTACAATTTTGTCAAAATTGCCGATTCTCATTATTTCTCGTTAATTTTTATGTTTATTTTTTTGAAATTAAATTCATGCCAAATTGAGTATATTATATTATATCATGGCCTGTAAAGTAGTTGATGACGATACCATACAGAAGATTGTATCAAATTATATTAAACATCGAAATTATAAGGTAATGATTTTTTTGTCGGGTTTTTTTTGAAAGATTCATTTAATGATTTTTCCAAAGGCAAATTCAAGAGTGAATGACAATCATCATTCATTGATTGATCAGCAATCAGAGGAAAATGGCACCGAAACAACGTTACGTGATGATAATGTTTTACCGGCTAAAGATTGGTTTCTAGAAGGTGCACTTTCAGCATTTCAAAGCATTCGAAATGTTGCCACATTGCGTTTGAAAGAAGAAGATTTTGTCAAAGAAGTTGAGGTAGCATTTCGAAAATTTGTTGAATTCATCAACAATATTCGTTTGACACAAATTGAAGAAAATCTGAAAACATCATCTACATCGTCGTCGTCGTCGTGGAATCAAAAGCGAATGCCACAACAACATGGTGAAGAGTTGTGGATGACCTGTTTTCCATTGTTTGTTCACATATTTATTCAACTTTTTGAATGTGGTCATGTTGCAAACGGTAAATTTAATCATTACCATCATGCTTAGTGATTATTGATTATTGATTAGTGATTATTGATTTTTACATGTTTAGCACAAAATTTTTTCATCGAACATTATCAAAGATTTACGAAAAAATCGAATCATGTACAATTCCTGAGTTCGATGCAATCATCGCTCAACAACAATTCATTGAATTCTGCATTACAAAATTTTAAAAATTTTAAATGTCGTATCATGATTACAGAGCAAAGTTTCAACTTGCTCACACAATTTTTAAAGGTATTTTCTGTTTCGATTTTCTTGTTATTATCATTATTACGAATTACGAATTCATTTCTTTTCTAGCATGAACAACATCTGTCCATATTACAAACATTCAATTCTTGTCTGGATTTTCGTGTCATGACACAAGAGGAATATAGCAATCAACAAACATATCAAGGTGTGTCGGCTCAAAATGATTCGGTTCATCAGGATGACATCCTAGCGGAAAATTTAGCCAATCCAAATAATTCGGAAGAAATGAATGAAATTCTAAACATTATAAAGTCCGTCAGAGATATGGATGATGAAGAAAATGATGACGACAACAATGAACCATCGGATTTAAATTATCCAACACAAGCATATCAAACAACTGTATGTCTATGTAGAATGCAATCGGCAAATACAAGTTCGGTTGCCATATCGAAAAATCTTGCCAAAATCGTAGCAGGCACAGAAAATTCCGAGATATTATTATGGGATTGTGATCTAACCGATGAACTTGAATATTTTTCCTCTCGTCTCTATCGACATTGGAAACGTGTACCGGTTCGGCAAATCACATCTGAGGTGGATTTTAAATTTATTAATCCAAAAACATGCGACGATAAATCAGTCACAGATGATGATGATGATGATGATGACGATGATGATGAGAAGGATGACTTTAAGAATCAAGTAAATCCAATCATCTTTCGTGGTCATTCTAATACCGTTTATGAAATGTCATTCCTGTTTGATTCGAATCTA